CTTTCCCTGAGTCTGAGTGTACTAAATCAAGGGTGAAAGCAGAAAATGTAGGTGAGTCAATTGCATGTAGTGGATAGTTAATTAGCAAAGAGACTCATTCATAGGTAGTGAGGAACTATGGATCGGCCAAATCCCTTGTTTTGAGCTCTTTACCACGTAATCCATTGGATCTAGTCGCGGTAGGGTAAGATCAGTGTTAAGAAGGCCTGAAGGGATAGTTCGTAAACCAATCTCAAGTAGGGCTAGCTTCTCTCTTGCTGTCCTATCTCCTCGAGGGTCACCTGCAGCGGGAAAGACAAGATTGCTGGAGGTAAGGTCCACAAGACAGCCTTTCGCTTGAAAGCATAACGTCTGAGGGGGATCAACTTTCAAAAGGAAGAGGGCGGCTTGAAAAGAGAAGAGGGCTTCTTCTTGTCCCATGTCCTTTTCTTCTAGTGCTTTAGTCGAAAGGCAAGCATGCTAAACTCTCCCTTACTCTTTGGAATCATCTATCAGAAGCAAATCGATCTCATAGCTCTCTAGCCTCTTGCAACTCTACTACTTGGGAAGGTAGAGCCCCTATGCTTCCTTCAAGTAGATACAGGATCAGATCCAATCAGCTTCTAAACGCGGGAACACAGAAAACAATCAGGATTCCCTATTTCTAGCTTCAGGGATCACTATGTAGACTTTGAACCATGCCAGGCACATCTATAAAGAGCCAGAGAGCTCAGCTCGCCCGCGTTCCAGTCTCTCATTCGACTCCGGGAAAGAATGGGATCAGATCTGGTAAGAGAAGCGCTTACGTGAGCAGTTTTCACTTGTGCGCTAGGAGTAGTTAAGCGAGTAACGGAGCGGAGGCAACGGTGTCTTTACTCATATATATCATATGCCATAAGTCAGCAATGCAGTTATGCCTATCCTTCTTTTGGGCTCCTGCTAACGCAAAGTAATCATTTAACTATGTATGATAGAATTACGGTAACAGCAACCTAGGGCTCGGCTCTGAACCAACTCTTCCGCTCACTACCGCCATGAAAACCCCCTTATATACAAGTTCACAGCACTTTTACAACGTTGCTTGTCTGCTTGGCTATCTTTGTCTTGGCTTTTTGGATTCTTCCAGTTTCGGGATTAGGTCTTGTCTGGTGGATCCTATGTGCTCTTATTGTTAATCACACTCCAAAATACAATTACTTATTTCACTGTTCAGTCTGCCCACCCGCACAAAGGGAGTCTGCCATCCCTGTATATGAGCCTACCCTACCTCTGTCTTTGATTCTGAAACTAATAACTAAAAGAATTGGGAGCTACTGCTTCTCTGAATTAAATAGGTAAATCACAGGCTTAGCCCACTGCTTTTAGACTTGAACGACTACTAGTAAGAATAAACCCACCACTTATCGTATTGATGCTATAGACGGGGAACCAACCTCGCCAGTATGGTTTTGAACTAACTAAGTATAGGATCGAAGTGGAAACAGAGGATCAAACAGGTAAGTCAAAGAGTAGGCACCGGATCGGAGAGAATCAACCTAGCAATACAGGATATCGGGCATAGCTCTAAGGCATTGTGAGCAGGAGAACAGACTTGAGCTACCCCTTCCAAGACTCAAAACATCTACTACACAATCTGATAATACATCTAAGTCTGATAATAATCGTACAGGGAAGAATGCTATTGCTTTGAGTCTAGCGCACTGACATCCAAATCTTATACTTCCGCTAACAAGAGTAAAACAAAGAATAGGGAATTTACCACAATAGTAAGCATAAATCTCGTTTTGGTCAACTGCCTGCCCGTTACTTGTCTAGTAGCTTGGCGAGTTGGATTCTTTGCCAGTAGTTGAGAGTAGCTAGTCCTGTGAGAGTGGAATACCGATCCTGTTCGGTTGTAGCTGGGCCTATTGACTACCTCCTTCTTGCTTAGCTCTTGTCTATCCGTTACTTGGCCCCCGGGGAGTGAAAGTCCTATTTCTTTTTGTTTGACTCTTTCTGGTGGTTGTCGATTTCCTGTTAGCTTTGATTGAATTCCAAGTTGCTCTTTTCATTGTTAGATGATGCGATGGGTCGGGTACCTATGAGTAGAAGAATAAGAGCACACTTCCTTACATGATGCAAGTAAGCTGCAGAAGAGTTCGATTGTGGAGTGGTGGAGTGAAACTATAGGATGGGAATGCAAAAGAGGCAGTAGAGGACAAACCCCTAAGAAGAAAGCATTAAAGGCGGGTATACAAGAATCTTGGAAGGGAAAGTCAACTCTAGAAGAAGTAGAAGAAGTAGAAATAGAATCGGCAGGAGGATTTGAGACTGTTGCTATACCTAGGACAGGCGGGTAAGTTCGGGAAGTGAGTTGCCAGCCCTTTACTATTAATTCGGTCAGTTCTATAATTGAAGATGAAACTTCAAGGCTTTCAGCACCTTACTAAAGTCTATATTTGCTATTCAAAAAGACGGGGCCAAGGCCTAGAACACAACTGGGCCAAGACGACAAACACAGATGAAACAAGGGACAGGGAAGCTGCCGCCATGAACTTTGGAGTGGAATTCCCACCCGACCTATACAAGAAGTGAGGCCGGCAAACCTGACTTGCGCCTGGCAAGGACACTTTCGCCATTAAGTCTATTTCTGTTCGAGTTAAGTCTCCAAGAGAAGGATCCGAGGCAGTTATCATAAAAGGTGGAATTCTTTGTTTTGTGTTCGGAAGATCTTTCTTTGTCCTTTGTTCGCTGACGCTAAAGTGAACGGGGTGTCGCTAAAGTGCTACCCGTGGCGCGTCAGTAACCTTCTTCCCTTTCTTAACTCAATATTGGCCTTGCTTTCATTGCCCTTTCTTGCAAGTTTGCTTGTTCCGTAGGCACCTGCTTGGTCTGCTTACTCCTTGCTTGTTGAAAAGAATTCTAGTGATGGTAATGTAGTAGATATTGGTGCTTTTGTGTTGGCGACTCGAATTGCCCCTTCCTTCTCTTGTTTACTGCTTCCTTTACCGATAATGGTCGAGCGCATTTGCCATTTGCAGAGTAGCAAGTCATTCTTCAAGTGGAGAAGAAGAAACAGGATCCGGCCCAGACTCTGTGGAGTGGGGGAAAGTTTATGAATTCAATAGAGTCTCTTGAGCACCTAGCCCAGTATAGATAGAAGTAAGGAAACAACATTGAAACATTCTTTGCACAACCTGGCAAGCATATACTAGGAATCCGTTCTCCTATAAAAAGATCAATAATGAATTTAGTAAGGATAAGGCCCTTATTGTAAGTTCTCGCTCACAAGGAACCTATGAGTTAGTAAAGATGCTTGAAGCACCTTCCCTTTTTCGTATGTTACTAACACTCCAGGAATGAAACTCGACTTGGCGGACTTTGGCACTGCTGACTCACTTGACACTGATTCTGATCTCGAGAGACGGGTTTTGTATTCTTATGTTATTTCTATTAACATTGGGCTAACGCGTTGATTCTTCTCCTATACAGGCTACAGGGTACTTAACCCGAACTGATTCTTCTGTCAACTAATACAGAATTAAGCAAGCTGCTTTCTCATCTACTTCTTGCCAATCAATACTTCCATTCCTGGGGCACTGCGGATTCTATTACTGCTGACTTCTATTCATTATAGTGGTTGCCAAGAGAGGTCTCAATTCTTATTACTGGTGTTCCTAGGACGAGTAACCTAAAGTATCTCGTACCTACCTCCGCTTTAGGGTCATTCTGAGTAGTACTTGTTTCAGCCTTAGACTCATCAGTGCCATTCTGTGACTCCTTCGTTTAAGCCTGTACCTACACAGCATCAGTCCTAGCAGCCCTAGGTTTGATTCTTGTTGGTAGTGAGTGAAGTCTGGTTGTTAGTAGCTCCATCCTCGGTAGCACTAGTTGAAGTCTTGGATTTACTGTATTAAGTCTGATCCCGTTCCTTGGCCCCTACCTTATCTATCTTCTTTCTCTTTTCTTCTCTTCTTCCTTACTATTTCCTTTGTATTCAAAACATGTAACATCTGAATTGTCAAGTGGTTCGTTCCTCTTCTCCAATCCATCTCTATATCATCTTTTCCCTTATAAATGCTGTGACCATAGCATCCCCAGTAGGACTGAATGATTAAGTAAGCCATGCATGTAAGAGTCGCTTTGTCAATGATAATGGATACGCGAAGGAACAAAGCCTCACTTCTGGCTCTATCTCCACATCGATGAAGGAGAGGAGTACCATAGTTTAGGGGCTAGGCAACCCTTGGGGCTGGATTGACTCTGGCGGATAAAGCTCGAGAAGCACCAACAATCAAATCCTAAACCTAGTGTTTACTTGCGGTGACAAATCCTAAACCTAATGTTTACTTGCGGTGATTGGATCCATAGCTTAATGGTAAAAGCGACCAACTCCACATTGGTCCAAAAGAATATAGAGGGTTCGATTCCTGCTGGATCCAAAAAGGCCAAATTCCACGTTCCATTAGTGTATTTGAATTGGCTTGGCTCTCCGTTCCATTAGTTTATTTGAATTGGCTCTCTATCAATGGCCATACTGAATGAATTGGTAACATCATATCAATACCAACAAATATGAACTCTGAGTCATAACTCTCCATTCTTATCAATACTGATGGAACTCATGGATGAGGGGTCTTATAGTATGAACGAGAATTCGCTGTTTTTACAGAAAACAAAGTCGGAGGGGGAAGAATAAATAGACACATATCATCTTATAGAGAGAAAGAAGCACAAAAAGCGAAATACTTAAGAAAAAGGCCAGACTCCACTCACTCTTATACTTGACTTCTACCCTGAGCACAGGCAAGGTATCTGTATACACAGTAACGAATCATCCAATCCACGACATAATTCTCTCTATGTATGGGCGCATCATCATCATTGTAGTAATGTATCGGTCGTAATGCCAGAGCAGAGGAATAATTACCGCAAGGCATAGAAGGGGACGAGCGTGGGTTTCAGCATGATTTCATTCAGTCCTATCCAAAAATGATGAGTTACAAATCAAGTATTACGGGTTGGTTGGGCAATAACAGATCGATTGTTTTAGCTCCTGGTCCTTTAAGAATATAGAGACAGAGATTTCAGCCTACAGCGGCACCCTCCCTGAGTAATAGCCGACTTGGACAACTACTCGGGACTCCCTACGCGTCGACTAGGCTTATAAGAATAGGCTCCCCTCACAAATAATGGGCTAACATTATAAGAATGGGCTCCCCTCACAAATAATGGGGTTGAATAAGCTTTTAAATGAGCTCTACAACAAAGGCCGGCACGATGGAAAGCGGATTTCTCTTTTATATAATGTTAACAATTTCAACAAAATAAGAAATTGGGAATTCTATCGGGATGAGGTTGAATTATACTATTATGGATCGCGGGGTGGGGAAGAGGAATCGACGAAGAATCCAGGAAAGAGCCGTGAAGGAAAAGCGTGACGAGTCAATTCTTGTCTTGCTTGAAATGTTAGAAGGAGCTAAATCAATAGGTGCCGGAGCTGCTACAATTGCTTCAGCCGGAGCTGCTGTCGGTATTGGAAACGTCCTCAGTTCCTCGATCAATTCTGTGGCGCGAAATCCATCATTGGCTAAACAATTATTTGGTTATGCCATTTTGGGCTTTGCTCTCACCGAAGCTATTGCATCGTTTGCCCTAATGATGGCCTTTCTGATCTCATTCGTATTCCGATCGCAAAAACAATGTCTTTGGTGATATTTGGATTTAGTAGGAGCTAGAGATTGTAGAATTTTCGAATATTAGAGTGGTGGGTGGGTGGTCGATTAGACGGTATCTAGTTCCAAGACTATGGAGGTTCAACTCCTCCTTAATCGCAGTTACTTGACTTGCTTGTCCACTCTCCTTAAAGAAAGAAGCCACCTTATGGGTCAGAGTACTTGAGCCTTTCAAAAGGATCTCAATGATTTTGTAGTCAGACTATTAGTAGCTCGTATCGCTCCTCTATCAAAAGGAGTGAAGCTAGCTTAGTTCATAGAAGTCAGTATTCCACTCTTCCCCTTGATTCTTTGAAAGTGTTTGAGTTAAGGCAGCATAAGTGCATCCGGGCAGATAATGGTGGTGAATACTGGGGTCCGTGGGAAGATTATTGCAGAACACATGGCATCAGGCTTGAGAAAAGTATGCCGAAAACCCCTAAGCACAATGGAGTGGAGCTAACGATAAGCCTCAATCAGGGTTCCGAAACGATCAAATGAATCCCATCCTCTGCTCGCCTCCCAGCCAATACTAGATACTGGAGTCTCGGGTGCTTGTTAATATAATAAGTCGACCATAATTCCCTTCCTACTGGATACATACAGTTTCGAGTCAAGGTAAGGGCGACACCCAACTTGAAGTTAATAAATCGAGCCAAGTCACGTATACAAACACATAGCAAGCGTATTCATCAGCTTACTTTGTTTTGTTAAGAATGCACTTTCCTGCTTGAATTCCAGTTTGACATTCAGAATGATACTAGCGCTTCTACAACTCTGACTCTAACGCCCTTCACTACCTTTACTTCGAATCTCACACAACTAGCTTGCTTTCTATAACTATTGATCCTAACTTGGAATCTGACTTTATTGCCTAAGAGCCTGTGACTACTAACAAGAAGAATGGCATTAAAGGGGAACTTATTGACTTTTGAATGGCAGCTCGACATCCATATAGAGAATAATGGAACTTAGAGCATACAGGACTTGTGTTACAGGTTTTTCTTCTATAGCTATACGGGCTTTTCTTCTATATCTCCCCACTTTACTACCCTTGCTTCAATGCCTACGAGTCTCTCCTCTTCCCCCGGGCTTTCGTTCCTTTACTATAACACATGCCGTAGAGCCTACCCTTACTCTTCTTTATCCTAGTAGCAGAGCCAAAAGACTATTCTTTACACACCCTGTGCTTCAGTCTGTCTGTCCTACCCTATAGTATTACTTTCCTGGCCTGGCCTGGCTATCTTTCTTTCGCTACTGATATCACATCTCACTTACTGAACAAACAGAACTGCTTGAAATGCCTATAGACTATAGTTTGGGCCTGACTTACTGACATCTAAATCATATGTGAACTTATTAGCCTGCCCTACCTTTCTTTAACCGCAGTATAAGAGGTTCGAACTTATACGGATGAGACCTTAGCTTATACCACTATTAGACTTCACCCCCACGGATAAAGAATGGAAATAGTACTTCCGAGCCTTACCCATTAGCTTCATCCACCAAGTATTCAATCCTTTATTCTAAGAAAAAGAAATCAACTCCGCTATAGCTCCTACCGCATCACCCGAACACATCAAAAGTAATAACCACTAATAAATATACTATATGTAAGTTGATTATTCTAGCAAAAACCACTTTAGCTCCAAACAAACAAAGGAATTGTTATAACTAGCTATCCAGTACTGGCTTTTTAAGCGCGTTGTCAATCATACGATAATGAGTGACCTAAATAATGCATGATATTCGGTAACTCATCAAAGAACTAATGTCGAAATCCGGAACTCAGACTGACCTTTTGCCTATGAAACTGCTTCTGAACTTGTCTACTTTGCGCTTGCAGCCCTGAACCCTGCTTGAATGCCATCTTATCTACTCGGTGAATAGCTGTCGGCCATATTCGTCGTAATACCAATGTTCAACTCTGCCCCCTAAAACATCATTGGCAGACCTCGTATTTGAAAGAAAAGATGCTTTGCTTTGGCGCTTAGTAGGGATAGAAGTGGGAATTGCTTCGTCAAGGGCAAAATCCAATCATGGAAATGGAACTGACGGATTCGAGTCACCAATAAAGACAGAGATCAAACTAATTAACTAGGCGCTCAAGAAGTCCTGGATTCTGACCGGAACCCTGCCACCCCTGCTTTGGCTTTCCTGGCAATAAGAGTCAAGTCAATAATCTATGAGTATGGAGCGTTTACTATTGTGATTGTAAGTATGGAGCGTTTACTATTGTGATTGTAAGTAAGTATGTATGTCTGGGTTTACTATTGATTGTAAGTATGTATGTCTGGGTTTACTATTGTAAGTATATAGGTGTGCCTACATTATGTAGTATATGAAGGTCTCTCAGTGTCACTAATGATGAAATTAGCTAACCATCTGCCCCATGTTCCTATATAAGCAACACACATATAAATAGTCGGATGTGTAAGTTACTAATGTAGTATTTGAATGTTCCTATGACGCACTGCGTGTTGTCAACTAACCTTATGATTCTTTAATTCCTTTCACCTTAGCTTGCTCGGACTCCGTCTCCAACTTCTTTTTCTACTCTGTCAAATCCGCGAGCACCTCCTCATTTCTCTAGCTCAGACCAGAAGTAATAGAGTTATCGAGATCAAGCAGTTCTTCCTTTGAAGCAAGAAGCTCATCAATCTGAAGTTCTACTTGCTCTTTTTCTGATGACTAAGATCTTCGATCTCTAAGGCGCTAAGCTTCTTTTTCCCTAGGTGGGTATCGAGACTCCTTCCTTTTCCCAGGCTCCCTGAGAGTCCAAGAGGGCAGCTGCTTTTCTCGAAATTATGTCAAGAAAGCCGGTTCTGCTAAGGATGTTTCACTCACTCTCCAAGTAAGTTGAGCGACTATGTTATCCCTCCTTATAATCAAGAAAGAAGGATGATTGTGCTCTTAAGTGACTGTCAAAGAGCGCCCAAGTATAAGATGAATAAAAAAGAGTTCGTTGATATAGTTAGAAATCCCTGTTTTAGACAGAGACTCTCCCCTAAGATAGAGAATATGAGATGGAATTCCTTGTTTCTACCTCGATTCTGATACCGATGATACAAAGGCCTATACATGTCTAACTTTCAAGTGTTATTCCCCGGAACCACGCTAAGTCTACTGTTCTGGCGTTGCTTCCTCTGATACGCCCTTGATTCTTTTACTACATAGTTGGATTCTGACTGACCCTATACCCTCGTGAGAATGGAATTACAACTTATGTCTTTTATTCTGACTTTGGATTGGAGTTATAGTTACTGGGCAATTTGACTTAGTTCTTGGCTTAGGTCTGATAGCTTAGGTCTTTTCTTCTTTATTCTTATTTTCATTATTCTCACTATGGATATTAGTCTAAATACTCGAATCATATGTTCAAATAATAATCAATATTGGATGAGGGAATTCTAGTTTAGGATCAAGTTTGAAACAAAGGAATACAGGATCAAACCAAGGAGGGGTGGGCTAACACCAAAAGCATAGGATATGGATCTGTAGCTTATAGCCTTAAAGGCACGAGTTGGCTCCCGAGTCCCTAGTTAAAGGACGAGAAACACTGTTTGTAGTCTAGTTAGCAGCAGTTAAAAGCCCCAGTTTCTTCCATTTAAAGGATAGTTGGAACCTGTTCCATTCTAATAGTCCATATTAGTAGTTATAGCGTTGCTGGGCAGTGTTATAGCCTGTTCGGCACCAGCTCAAGTCCAGTTAGGGAGGTAGTTTATCTGTATTTCGAGGTCGGTTCCTGTCCAGTAGGTATCAATATGAGATATAGGGTGCCCGCTCTAAGAGACTTTAACTCAAAACTAGGATTTAAGGCAGTAAGGGCAGAATGAGTGTTGATGTTGGGAATTCAGAATCAAACTACTAAGTCAGGAAACCAGTCTTGTCAGGGGATATTAGCTCTACTCGAATACTCTGAATGGAAAGTAATAATTCTCAAAAGGGGTTTCCGTCTTGAAGTAAGAGTTGACTGCCCGACCTAGACCTGTCCTGTTTTTCCTATATCAAAGAGTTGACCTCCCTTTCGCAATTAAGTAAAAGAGTTGACCTCCCTTTCGCAACTAATATGGAATTGACTTATAGGGCTTAGGCTCCTTACTTAGGAATCAATATCACACCATTAACTCGAAAGCCAGAATCAAACACTGAAAGAAAACTTCCTATAACGCCTCCAGTCTTGCTTATGAGCTCCCTAGGCTTACCTTAATGTCTTTCGTTCTCTCCCCCGGGGGCCAAGATCGAGCTTCCTTTCCTGGCTTTCGAACTAGTACTCATTCCTGTCATTCTTTAACTAATGCCTATCCGTCAATCCCCTTCCCAGTATCCTAAGTCAAGTGCTTTTCTTTACAGCATTAGTCTCCTTCTTTTCAGTGGGTAAGTATGAGAATGGTTTGTGTGGTTCAGTCGGGGTGTTACGCAATTCTATATATATGTTTTCATATGGCAAATAAGAATTCCATTTTGATGAGTCTAACCTATGTGTTTCGATTAGTCTAACCCATGTGTTATACGCATAGAAATATGGAGTAATGAAAGACAGGAGGCAGAACTAAGAAGCCCAATTATTATTATCAAAGAATCAAATCGGTAGGTGTTTCAGGCTTACAATACTACCTCGCTGCCCTTGCTTTCAGTCTGCCCAGCATCGGTATCAGTCTTGGATTCGGGTCGGATAGCCTGTCACTCCCTTGGTTCAGGTCTTGCTAGGTAGTGTTTCAGCCTTGCACTTCTTTGTTTCGTTCTGGAATTCCTACTACCTGGCCTGGCCTCTCCTTCTTACTCGCACTGCCTTAAGGCTTCCTTTCCTCTATAGTCTCTCGGTCAAGACTTAATAAATGGGTCTAGTAACTTCATTAAACAAGTCAGTCCACCACCCTAACCTTAACGAGGCAAAACTCACCCCTATCCGACACAAGAGCAGAAATCCACTTTTTACCAAAACACGGGATTTTGGATAGGACAAGTCACTGCTAATGTGTAGCGGCAGTCCCTTTCTGGTTTCATATATAAGCAGAAGATCTCATTTAGTAGGAGCCAAGTAACATAGTAAGTGTAGCGGCAGG